ATGTTTTCAAGATGAAGGATTTGAGTTAGTCCAAGAAGATATTATGAATGGATTTCTATTGGAATTTGAAGTGTAAAAATGTATGATTTTTTCAAGACAATTATAGTCAACGTGTCCTTGAAAAATCTAACATGACAAACTCTAAAGAAATACAAACTTTTTGGCAGCACATTTGAAGCTTTTTACAACTTAATTCTAGTGAATGTTATCAATTTTATATGACAAACAATGAACAGCCTTATGCATATGACGATTTGCACTATGTTTAATATTGCTTTAGAAACAGACAAAGCGAATAAGTACATGTAAAATTCACAAAAGATGTATTGAAAAAGAAATTTGCAACTAGGAGTGTATATACAATTAATGATAAATGCAAATTGGAGATTTATTTTTCCAAAATGCATAGCTCAGTTCACAATTGAAGCTCAATATGTAATTGCAAAGGAAGTTATTTGATTGATTAGATTTAAATTGGGATGAAGTTGAAACAAGAGTTTGTCAACTTTCTTTAGTTCTATAATCAGAGTGCATTTTATGTTGCTGGAAATCAAATGATGGAAAACATAATATGGTAGATGGTAAATAGATCAAGCCCGTGGGATCCAAAGGGGTCAAAAGGCTGAAAAACACAAAAAATAAAACATATCAAGATTAGATTTTAGAAGTTTTTCCTTTTTATTTGATCAAACTTTTGATAAAAAGTTTGATAGTGGATTCAATAAAGTTGATACAAAAGTGTTCAAACTTTTGAAAAATTAAATAATATTGTGCTACTTTTTAACAAGTTCCGCTTAAGAAGCACAAGTAAAGAACACTAGCAATTTTCATTACATCTTTTATCTTTAAGGTGTGTATGTTTTTTGAGATTTTTCCACATAATAATTGAAAATATTTTTTTAAGACATGAATTGGAGTGAAAATTGTTAGCTTAAGTCTTTTGATTATTCAGGTTAGGTTAATCTCATTCAATGAAGCTGGTCAAACTGCCACCATATAAAAGAGCTCATGAAAGATCTTGTTGCATATTCTAGAGGTTTATTTAGTAATTTATGAGGTGTTTTGTGATCGTAGTCCGTAGTGATGAACCATTTTTTTCCAATTTTGGTTAAATCTCTGCGTATGCAATCTTGAGTTTACTAATGCGTTTGATTTTCTCTGTGATGAAAGAAGCAACATTTTTGAGATATTTTTCATACACATGGAAAATTTACAAGTTTAAACATGATGGTTTATGATGCAATCAAAATATTTTTCAGTTTAAAGGATAAAACGTTAGTTCTAAGAATAAGTTGACAAACTTGACATAAACATTACTTGAATTTTTTTGATTTTATTTATAAAAACTTCAAGTGAAGTTCAAGATAAATATCTTCAAAATGGTTCACATAGAAAATTGATATGATGTCAAAATATTGAAATAACATACAAGAGATAATAATACCTACAATGATATTCTTCTTCAATCACATTTCATCAAAGAGGTCGGTAATTACACGTGCTAGATCATGATGAGCAACAACTAAAATACTAGTTGAATGAAATTGTGCAGTAGTCTCTAAACGAACTTGAGACTAATTAAATTATAGATGAAGTATAATGTGATCAAAATACGATATCTTTTAACATACTCAAGAATTATTATTGACTTATAAAGTCTTAATAAAATAATAAATCTCACCAATTGGAGAGTTGTTAAGGTTTCTTGGGATGTCATTTGAGTCTTTGTTATGCATACTATGATGAACCATTTACCACATATGGTGTTCATGTGACCATATGGGGACATGAACACCACAATCTACAAAAAGATGATGAGTTTACCTATCGTAAACATTGGTCTAGAGCCTGATGGGGTTGTTAGTTCTTCATGGATGGAGTGGGTTCGTAGTATAGATCCTGCAACGTTTCCATGCACTGTCTGCGCAGTTGATATGCGAAGTCTTTTCTGGTTATGATTTCTCGATTCGGGGAAGCTTTCCCTGTGGTCGTTTCTTTTCTTCGATGTAGTTGGCGATAATTTGTTTGATTTTGTGTTTCTCTTGGCGGAGTCGTTTCCATGGGAAGTCGAGATAACAGATTCGGTTCACCTCCTGCTTGCGATTCACGTCGTGCGTCGGGGTTGTTACTTTCATGAAGTTTTCACCTCAATGTCTCACGATTACCTCCATTACGAGAGAAGATGGTGCTGCAAAGATGATGGAGTACAAGTAGGGAATCCTCCCTACTTGTATCCTCCCTTGAATCTGCACATCCCGCCATCTGTCCCATCGTTCTATCCGATCATTCTAATAACTTCTTTTTTCTCCTGCGGCCGCTTTTAGAGAAGAAAGGAAAGCATAAATCCATTTTCTCTTTGTGAAAGCTTCGTTTTTGTAGTCGATGTAGAACGTGGACCGATGCTCAGAAGTCTCACATGTTATTGACGGCAACCTTAGGGAAACATTTGTAGCGTGTTCGTTCTTTCTTTAGGCTTGCTCTGGCTCTCATCCCCATGAAAAGTGTAAGAAAATGCTTCACAGAACAGTGAGGAATCCTCCCCGTAAAAGGAGATAGCAATGTTCCTCAAGACCAGTGGAGCTTGACGAATCTTCATTTTGATCATTCCTTCAAGTACTCAAGTTTGACATACGAAGTACAACATGTGACTCTCTTAGTTAGAGTCCGCGAAGACATGTATGATTTTATAATTTCCTGGTGTGTGAATTTTCTCGACTTTTAGATAACCAGAAGGAAATATCACATGAGACGAAATGGTAGAAGAAGTGGACACAGAAATGAACGCAATACATCTCAAACTGGCTGATATGGACAGGATCTTGTGCATGGCAGATGTCACATCAAGTACATACTCATTTTTGATAAGGAGTGGACCAAACCTAGAGGGGCTGAAACTCTCTCCACAGAAAATCGTCCTATGGAGCAATCATCATTCATATACAAAAGAAGAATCCGTTTCCATGAGGAAAGTAAAAAATTCCATTATCGGCAAAGGATTATGCAGCAGCACGCTCTCTAAAAACATTCAGTTACATACATCAAATGTGCAGCCACGTTTGAAGATACTGACCCAAATTTCTTACTAATTCGATAATGCAGGGTGATCGTCCCGGACGTTAAAATTAGGTTGCCTGGCATTCCATGATCAAACTGGTATTCACACTATACTCATGTTGCTTGTATCCTAAGCGCATGAGATTGTAGCTGATATCATCTCAGCTGCATCTGACTATAACTTACACCTATGCTGGATGACTACCTTGCTGTCATCGTCGCATTCCGGCCAATTTTTAGGCTCACACTTTATTCAGGTGCAAAAATAGGATTATAATTAGAAGAAGGCATAGACGTAACAACAATTGCTTAAATTGAAACTAGAAACCCTCAATTTCGAAAATATCCGGCAGTGCTGCTAGTATCCGGTCCGCAGAAATGCAGCCGACGCATGGGCAGTGTATGCTTAGAAAATTTAGTACAACTTGCCAGGGGGTTTTCCCGTACAAAGCGAAGCAGAAAGATTGTGACCCAGATAGTGGGAACAAACTTAACCCGTGCAGTCTGTTTACAAGTATTATCCTTGCCTAACTATATTGAAACCATTAGTTGACTTCCTTTTGCCAAAGATCAGTCCTCCCACTTGCATGGCTCCTTCTAAACAAAGAAAGTGCTACCTTAACATACGAAAAAATGCTTTTGTCCTGATTTCGTATCCCCCTACTCTATAAAATGGCATTTTGATACTTTGGCACGTTCATACGTTCAGCAAGAAATGCAAAGAATTCCATTATCTTTTCCTAGTGTACCACCGCGTACAAAATGTGAGTTACACTCATGTATATCCTAAGAATATTATGTTTTCTATATCGAATTCGAATCAAAATCAAGGAGGCTAGATAGGATGTGAAACATATACTGGACCTACATTGATTCTAGTATTGTCGACCTACACATGATGCTTGAGGTGGTTTGAAACATACTTACAGTAGGTGTTACCTTGGCCGTGGATGCTCACATGTTACCACTTCTAACGTAATTTCACAAAGATAGCTGGAAATTCTTGAGACAAGACGTAACACGTTGCTACAGATCTGGCATCCGAAGTACAAAGTCATATCTGTCGTCGATACACCCAATGCTTCATCATCCACTTATTTACATGATCATACATGCAATCATATCGGCCCTACATATGAGTTGTTTTTACCCTGCCTATACTCTAGGAAGCAAAGACAAAGTTCTGAATCAAGAAGGGATCACAGGCAATATGAGAAGCGGGGCACAAAATATGAGCTTACTTCTGTACCAGAGACCTTAAAACCTTATGAGTCGATAATATTGTTCGATAAGGTGCATGATCTTTCCGTGATAAATGCACCCAAGAAGCCTGAGTCCTTATACAAGCAAAATTGTCGAACACAAATTCAGGACTAGACAAGTGGAGACAGGATGATTGTTGTAAACCCGAAGTACGAGATGGTTCTGCAAGTATTCGACTTAGTAATATGAATGGACGACCGAGATTTCACCAATTCCAGACACTGACGGCCTGTGGGATAAATCATGCATCAGGGACTGCAAGTCCGATCTCTCGAGGTACTCTCATATCACCGTACACATACCTTGCCCACCTTGCCCGTACTGCGTCATGCAGGTCCTTTGTGGTCATTCCTCCACACGACGGCGTGACGCAACTTGTTTGCCGCAAAGGCAACCCCGGTGCCCGGTCCCACCTTGTTGGACACCGAAACCAAGTGATTCCCACGTAGCGTGAAGCCAAGGAGATGGATCTTACATAATGACGCCCCTTAAGGACAGATCTTAGTTAGCGGCTGGATTTAGCGATCATTTTAGTCTAGTTCAGGAAACAGAGGGAATCGGGCATTGCGGAATATTCTCGGTCTCAGAGGCGACCGGCATCTACGTGGAACCGGGAAAGGCGGTTGCCATGGATCCACGGTTCATATAGAGGACAGGAGGTAGAAATTGCCGACTGCGCACTCTGGATGTTTCTGTGGGTGTTTGGGCTTTTCCTTCTCCGCTCGCTGATGGTCGTCAGAGCTTTGTCCGTGTCTGATGGTCGTCTGATTCTTCCAGCCGAAGCTCAAAACACAATGCTCGGTATTATCGAGCATGGTGTTTTGAATGTGCTTGCGCCAGTTTGCATTCATCGCTTCCTGTTGATTTTGAGTGTAGTGATTTCGAGTCTTGTTCCGCGGTGAGTGATATAGAGCTGAGATTATGGAACAACGCAATATCTTCAGAAATTTCTGGATAAGATGTATCTTGGCTCTCTCATGGACGAGGTCGCCAGTCGTTTACGAGAAGCCAAAGAAAGAGGTTGGAGAATCAGCTTGCATTGTTCATGCAAGCTGTTTGTGGAGCAGTCTTGACTCATGTCGTGTAATTCGGCTAGAATTTGGTTCTTTGATGAAGCAGCTGTAGAAGGTCTTGATTCATGTGCTGCAGTTCAGCTAGGAGTTGTTTTTCATCTGAAGCAGATATAGTGAGGTATGTAGGAAGGTAGTGCAGCTCAGGTGTCGCCATCCATGGCAGAAGTAGACCAGAAGAAGGTTACAATCCTTTCTGGTCAGAAGTGTAGGATGAGATGCACTTTACCCACTCACTTTGGCCGAGGGTTTCACAAAGTTCAATTACAGCAAAATAGATCACCTTCCATTCGAAGAGAAGTGCTCTTGGTTCATATCTTTAAATTTGCAGAGCAGCGAAGACGTGGTTCACGTCTGAAGCAACTGTAGCAGGGCCTGAAGTAGTGCAGCTCACTTCTTGCCATAATTGGACGAGTAGCAGGAGGATGATGAGCATACAGAATAGAAAGTGCCCATCTTTTGCTAGTTAGAAGTGTAGTACTAGATGATTTACTCCTCAGTCAGTCAAGCAGATGGTTCCCCAAAAATCCAGTGCAGCAACGTGGTATTCTTGACTCATGTGGTGCTCTATCTCCAGTGCAGCTAGGAAGTGGTTGATTTCTGTAGAGAATTCTGTAGAGAAGTAGTGCAACTATGTCATATCCATAGTCTCGAGGAGGACGAGCAGAAAGATTAGAAGATTCTTGCTTCTATATAGTGTAGAGCGGGACGCAAGTTAATCACTGAGTATTGTCAAGGGTTCATCAAGAATCAGTGGAAGCACCGGGGGTGGGAGGCTTCAAACATCAAGATCAATTCGGTTTCACTTCGATTATCCAAATTGACTACGCTGAGGACAGCCTCTAATAGCCAGCGGGCTGGGAGGTGGGAAGTGTTGATTCTAAGTCATTTTTCAAGCTCAAGAGGAGTGGACAGATTCTAGAGGAGAGTATATGGCCACACGTAAGAGTCAGAATGAGAGAAAAAATTCAGTTTTGTAGTGGATAGAGAGATCGTAGTAACGCTGCTGTATTGTCTTTCATTTCTAGACCTACCTTCCTGAGGAGTATGAAGGAGGCTGGGACTACAGTGAAGTCGAAGAAAAGTATTGAGAGGAGATTCGTACAAGAGTTGATGGTGATTCATCCCAGCAACATGAGTGCTGATCTTAGAGGAAATCTTTCCTCACCTTCTGAGCTTCAGCAAGAACCTTTCGACATTAAGAATATTGCATAGTAATGTTACAGCACGCCAGTCCTAATGACCTGTTGGACAAGCAGGCAGCGGGTTCGTGTTTCGAGTGAAGGCATCGAGCTTCCTACGAGTAGACCGCTTTCGATCCTCTTAAACAGGAGTTTAAATAGGAGCCCTTGCAAATTCATGTTTCTCATGGTCACTTGCTACCTGATTGATAACTGTATCATCATTTTCTCTAGAACCAGGAAGATTAGAGAGAAAGTGGGGTTACAGACGTAAGAAGCAAATTCTGAATAGGCGTCGACCTAGCTAGAAGAGAAATAGGAGTTTCTAGTGGCTGCCTACAGAAGAGAAGCTCAGTGTTCTTCTTGAGAATAACAGATGTCAGCTACAGTCCGAAATCTATCCATTTAGCAGTTAGTATAGGTGAGGCTGCAAAAGGTAGAGAGTTCAGAAATCCGCAGTTGCCCTCAGTTGGGTTCGTCAGATTTTCGAAGTTCAGACTTTACAACTGTTACAGGCTACAGGATCCGCATAAACACATCTGCAAGTCAAGAAAATTCGTTGCGATGGAGATTCCATCAGACTTTGATAATTTGATGGTAGGACTGATGGAGCTCCCAAATCTGTATAAGGCTCTATTCCCTGTCAACGAAAACTCAAACGCACATGTAGCTGCGGAGCTGGTTATCAAAGCTTCAGAGAACTTCAAGAAAGAGGAGATTCTTGCAGCGCACCAGTCGGACATGTCTAAGTTCACATCATGGCTCGACTACGTGGACTCGGCCACAGCGAAGAAGGAGAAACTCAGGGGGAGTATCAAGTGCAGCCAAGGTCCGGGCAAAGGGGTTCTACTCAGGTTAAGAGAATCTGTGGTGGAGATTCCGCCCAGACCACCTGCTCCTCTTGGAACCTTACGGCCCATCAAGTTATCTGAACTCCACTTGGATCGACAGCACTACGGACGGGTTCTGTACGGCACCTTCTGCGTCAAGGCGTTCAAAATGACGGCGGTCCTCACACTTCTGGAGGAGGCAAACACGGGCAAGGTCGTGAAGCTTGCAATATACAATGCTGTAGCGTCGACGGCCACATTGGGGGAGGTAATTTTTCCTAGCCTACGACATCCTCCTTGCCCGCAATCACGCTCTAGGCTTCAACTTCTTTATCTCTTTTGACCCTCAGAAACCCACCGCGCCCGCCCACACACACACAGAAAGCTTCTACCGTTAGTCGTCCCAGTTTAGAAGTGGACACTCGTTACCCATAACCAGGTTTCCCAAATAACTATATATTTGACTTTCACTATATTTCACTTTCACATATTTTTCTTCAATTTTGACTTTCGATCGCTTCTCTCTTATCTTGTGCGGTACATGCTGAGGAAACATAATAATACATGCTGAGGAAACCAGGAATCTGATTGACGTATAGAAATTATGCAAAAATCATTTGTGCAGCATTATGCATGACTAAGCTCACGGATACCAGTCGGGTCCATCCGACCATCATCGAATGCGAGACACGTGAGGGAGTAGTCCCGCATTTGGAATAAGGGAGCCAACCATTCAGAGGGATAAAATCAATTAAATAAACCTCGTTCTATTCCTTAAGCAGTGGTGAAATTTACGCTGAGGATCTTAAATATTAGCAGAGACAGGCAAGATATTCTGCACTAGTGTTTTCGAAGTTTTCTAATGCGTGATAAACAACTCATATTCCGTGATCGACAGAGATCTACTTAGAAGTTGACTTTTAACAAAAATTGTCCACGACCAGGACATAGCTTAAGACTTTATTCTTTATTCAGGGATGCAGCTACAAACTACCTGAAGGCTATGCAAGGTGCCCTGACCAAATCCTTTCAGAGTCAGTCTTGAGATGGCCGGTCCAACACAGACCATTTTGACAAGACCACTGTTGTATTCCATGAAGGTACAAGCTCAGTTTCCGCAGGGGTCGAGGGTAGCTATCAAGGAGCCGTACTTCAAGAGATACAAAGATCAGACTGTGGGACTGCGAGTTAACAATCCCGGAGACGTCGTTTTCCTGGAGTCATCGGCTAGTGCAGGAGCTTCTGGCGATGACAAGCACTGTGACGGCACGGAATTTGACGACAAAACCGACCTGGACTACGATCAGCTTCGACTTGAGGGCAACCGGGCATTTAACTCCGGGGACTTAAGAGCTGCGGTGAAGTTCTACACCAAGAGCATCGACAAGGCGCTGAGTTGCAGCAAGTCCTGGAAGTTGGAGTCCTCCACGAGCGGGCTGCAGGGAGCCGTTGCAAAGATTCAAGCGAATGAGAAGAAAGCGACATCATCAGCAACCCCGGGCAGCAAGTCTGATAACTTGAATGGGCCAAAGTCGACTTCCAACAATGCCGACAATCAGAAGCGAAAATCCCCATCGAAGAAATCGAGCAAGAAGCGGAGCAAACAGCGTAGAGGAGGCTGCGATCGCGACCAGAGTCAAACGCCCATGTCAACGAAGGCTGACGTGAAGGCGGATCTGAAAGCGGAAGCAGCTCTTTTGGCGGCCTACTCCAACAGATCGGAAGCTTGGCTTCGGATGAACAAATACGAGGAGGCGGTAATTGATGCAGAGAACGCATTGCAGATCGATCAGGCGCACGTCAAGAGTATGTTCCGAAGGGGAAAGGCGTCTCATTGCCTTCAGCAGTACAGCAAAGCCATTCAGTGCCTCCAGTCGGCTCTCCAGCTTTCCCCCCACGACGCAGACGTCGAGAAAGCCTTGAAAGAAGCCATCACAGCAGATTTGCAGAGCAGGCTAGGCGTGTACAATCTTTCGTCCTACTATCTCAGCAACTTCTCCGGCAGCCCTCCAAAATGTGCAGACTATAGCGGTCCTGTAAAGGTGCAGATGCTCGAGTCCAAGTATGGAGCTGGAAGTGGACAGAGGGGACTCGTTACCACGACCAGTGTTAGGGCCGGGGATCTGCTGCTGGTGAGCAATCCACTGGCCATCGCCAGATCCGAAGGAGTCGAGTTTCACCTCATACCAGAGACGAGGCGAATGAACGATGCTTCTCAGGAGGATCTGGTAACCCAGCTGTACAACTTTGCAAGAGTAGCTCCCCGCGCGTTGCATCAGCTTCAGAGCCTGTACAATGGCAGTAAAAATTGCTCCCAACCGTCTATGGATCTCTTCGTCCCCGGCAGTATATTTAATTCACCAAAGAGCTTTAAGAATTCCACGAACATACTAGGGACTGCTCCAGCGCAGCCGGACATCACTTCGATCCGCAACGTTGTCCAGTGGAATGCATTCGACGAGCAGGGATTCACTACAGGAGGCGGGAGCGGTCGAAAAGGTTTGAGAAGCTTCTGCTCGGGCATCTGGGTTCTGCCGTCGTTCATCAACCACTCATGTCTGCCGAATGCATCCAGAGTACATGTGGGTGATGCCATGATGATTTACGCTTCAAGAGATCTAGAGGCTGGGGAAGAAGTTTGTCTTCCATATTTTGACATACTCTCTCCACTGCCACAACGGAGGGAAAAAGGTCTGGCAGGATGGGGCTTCACGTGCAAATGTCCTCGCTGCAAGCTGGAGGAGACCTTGCAGAGCGAAATCCAGCACATGACAGACAAGTACTCTCAGCTCGAGGAAGAAGCGATACCGGCGATTCATCAGGAGACCAAAGGTGGATTTGCAAAAAAGGGCGATGGATTTCTCAGAAATACTTCGCAGTTCCTCGGCCTTGCCAGTGAGGTGGAAGCCCTTCTATCCACCAGAAAGTTCTCACACTTGACCACTCAGAAGAAGAATTGGGTCCGTGCCTCGTATGCGATTTCTTACATCGTTGGCAACTCCTCCATGCCCGCGTTCCCTCAAAACTCAGATGGTGCAGCGAAATTCCGCTTTCTGAGTGCTGTGCTTGACTCGCTGGCAGAGGTCTTCCCCGGAAATTCCCAGACCCTAATCACGGCGATTATGGTCATGGAGGAGGTACGCAAGCAGCACACGATGAAGTCGAAGGCTTTCAAAGTTGCTGAGGAGAAAGCACTGGGCATCTGCCGATGCATATATGGTAACCAGAAAGTTCCTGTGCTCCGATCGCTAATGAATTCCATGCAAGAAGGCATCTTGGAAGCCTGAATGTTCAGTCAAATCATCACGAAGAGGTACTTACTTCTAAATAGTAGACTAATGATATCTAGGTTCTCTTGCTCAGCGATCACGGTTCTCAAAGCCGATTCTAGCTTCGAGCCTTTGTTCATTTATTCGTCCTTCCCTAAATTCGTCTAGTTCTAGTGTCACATTGTGCTTCTGTCTCTATTAAATATGAATCTGCGCACTCGCAAATTCATATTAAGCGATGGGTTCAGTACCCATCGCTACTACCTCGAGCATCCATGTTTCAGAACGTCAGTAGCTCCTTGCACAGAAGGATTTGGAACTTTCCAGTCTTGCGTAAAGCTGCTCCATCAGTCAAAGTCGATAATTGATTCAATCGATCAATCGTTACAATGGGCAACTTCCTTGTTCATCCCAAACAGTGGGTTTCAACTTCTCAGCACCAGAATCCGCAGACACTGCTATTTATGCAGGAATGACGATCAGGGTGTTATCTGGCCAAACCCTACTGACGATGGATCTATTCATGTCTCCTTAGAAACCTAAGAAAAGAACTTCTTTCGCGTCAGCGATATAGTGACCTAATATTTACGCTTTCAGCTGTAATTCTTTTCATAAATTTTGCCACTAACTAATCATATACTCAGATCTACTCGTCCCACGTATGAAACCATCCTTACTCTATCCATTGCCAACCCAAGGCTAGATAGTTTCTTTGCACAAGCAAATTTCGTGACCTCCTAGAAACCGTGAGGAGTTTCACAATATCAAGTATCTTCATGATCATTTTTCATTCTTATAGTATGCTGGCCTATCTGCGTTTGCATTTTGTGGGCTTTTCTGGTGAACAGAGGTCGGGTGACATTTAACTACTTCTATGGCTTCGGTCTTGCAGTTTAAAAGCAGCAACGTCTGATTTCGAAGGCTTTCAAGAATGCTGCTAAGATGAGCGTGCAGCATCAGTCTACTGTACATACATGTTAGTCATTAGCGAGCGTAGCTCAGAAAGTTGAGAAAGTTCTCGCGCCACAAGGAGCATCTTGTGAAGCATTAGTATGGGTGGCTTATACTCAGAAATGTCTGTAATCTGGAGGTACTTTGAGCGGCATCTGTTCATCTTTCTTATCGATTTGAACGTAAGCAAGAGTCATCTGCTCACTAACTGTGACTTCTGTACACGATCCGACGAAAATCAGTGTTGGCGACAGAGGAGGATACAACGGATCAAGACATGTGGTTCTCCAGTCTGTTTTATAGGTGTGACTGCGACTGAGGAAACCAAGACCCCGAACCCTTTCGATCGTAAAGTAGCGATATCGAGACTCGCCTCATCTACATCTTGTCACAGAAGGGTATTGTTTCGTTCTTCATTATAGATGTAGATTCACCAGTTCCAGCTAGACTCCAAAATTATTAACAAGTGGGCTCGGCCCCTATTCGTTTCTTGGGCGCAAGCATAGAACCCTCCATCTGTTCCTGTATTGATTCAATGACCGCTCTAATTTATCAGTGCATACACGGAATTTATGAAGAACCCGCATCTTTCTTACTCTAGCAATTGAGAAAACAACTGTTAGACTGTTTATTGCTTGTCAGAATCAGCTGTAACGTCTGCTCGCGTAATTAGTTACAGCAAGCTGGTCCTCAAATACGGGCTCAACTTCTTTAGTTTAATTTCGCTAGCCACTCGATCCTCATAAATAAATCCTTCATGGGTGATTCCTGTTATCCCCTCCGTACATGACAGGTCCTTAGAGTTGTTTAAAATCATATGTGAAGGACGTGCTAATTGATCGAACACTGCGATCTTCTTTTTGTTGCGAGAGAAGATAGTATGGCCACATTTGATTTGCATACTGCGAATTTTCAGCTGTTTCATTATCCGCGAAGCCTTAAATTGATGCTCTGTGATGCTTTCTAGCCGTAAAGAATACGAACTCATTACTGGAAACACAATAAAGAACAAAGTCGTAGCTTCTCTCTAAGCTGCTTGAGTCTAAACTTTCCTTTGGTTTGTTCTTTGAGGCAGTGTTATATATTCCGTGTTCCTGCATTTCTTCCCAATGATAGGTGCTTCTATCACGACCAAGAAACCATAGCTCCTTGTTATTGATAAATCCAGTCTGACAAACCAGGTTCTCCTGATTCCCAAGCAAACATGTGACCTTGGCACAAGTCTCTGTAATTTTGGTTCCAATCCTGAGCAAGTCCCAGGTTGCGAATGGGCATGATGTACTGAACAATTGAGATGAATCAGATGGGGTGTTGTCCACAAGTTGACTGAGAATTCTGTGCTTCTTAATTAGTTACATAAGCGAGAACTGCACCAATGACAAAAGCAGCCACGGGTTTGTATCAACAGACGAAAGTTTAGATCTTCAAGCTGCTCCAATTGGCCATTATATATTCAATTACAAGTGACATAACGAGCTGTGAATGCATGAAACCTAATCGGCGTTTCATTAAAATGTGTGTGCTGGGAAGGAAATCAACTGCCAGCTGCCATTCGATTTCTTCAAGTGAAGACTCCATGCTCTGCTCTCTGCCCTCGAAAGCATGGGAGTGGCTCATATGCCAAATTGATAACTATAGACCGAAATAAAAGTAACGTGCTGACTTCGAATGTTGTATTTGTCATTGACTAGATGTTACCACTTTTCGCCAATCTATTATCAGTGCAAAGTGAACCTGACGACATTGGCCTTTATTCACATGTTCAATATAACTAGACTTTAGCATCGATCAACTGATTGATGAATTTAAAAATGAGTGCCAACGAGAGGAGCAAAGCTTGAACAGGTCATAAAACGATTTTACTGTTGAATTAATTATGTGTACCAGGTATCTGGCTCCCTGGAACCAAATCTGATCGTGGTAGTAATGTTGCAACCCTAGACTACCTTCAAGTATGTATCTTGCATGTTGCTTTAAACGAGGGGCTGTTTAGTTTTTGATTATCCTCATCTCTAGGCAAGACTCACTAAGTGATGATTGGAATAAGGTCCAAAATATAACTTGTATGATAATAACTTCAGAACTCAGCTTCTTTGAGAAAGAAGCTTATTGAGAACTGTATGGTGAAATACAGGATGGTTTGTCAATAAAGAGTGTTCAAATCATCATTGCAACCCAAAGTAAAACTTTCAACAAATACAGTTAACAATCTATTAATCAGTTCACATCCACATGCAAGAATCAACTTGAACATTTCAAATAACAACCCAAGAATCACTATCCATCCTATCTTGGAAAACTTTTCAATAGTAATACGTTATGTTGAAATTGCACAACAAAGTATTCTCGCTCATAAAGATTTTTAAATTTTTGTAATAAGCTTCAGAAAAGAACAAAATTCGTAAAAACATCCAATATTGCCTAAAAGGTTATTTCTATCTTTAACTTGATTTACAAGTAATTTTTCAGAATTGTGAATATGAATTATCAAAGTTAAAGTAAGAAATAAAATAAACATTTTTTTTGGAATTTTGGTCAAGTAAATGGTCTTGATAAATAGATCAAGCCTGGGGGATACTAAGGTAAAAAAGCTAAAAAACACAGAACAAACAAAAAACCACAAATGGTAAATGGTAATAAATCAAGTCCAGGGACCCAAAGATCAAAAGGTTGAAATATGCAAAACAAACAACCAAACTTTAAACTAGTAAAGAACCAAAAGAACCCCCTAGCTAGTGCCCAGAGCACTAGAATAAACATTAATAACATCCCTTATAAAACAACCTAAATCATAAGGCTCAAATTGCAATAAAGAAAAAAAATTCTCAATAACAACCTTATGAGATACTCTAACATATATCCTACATGTCTATTACAAATAACAAACACATGTTCTTCATCCTCAACTTTCCTCCCATCACATAACCTACAAATAAGTTCACTCTTATCAATGTTCAACCAACGCAATTACTCAATCCCAAGACTATGAGATCATGTTCTATGCCGAGCAATAATATGATGTAGAGATCTCTGCAAGTAGTTATTTTTGCTCATAATAAACAAGCATATGATTCACATGAAGTTGATAAAACTTTAATTCAATGCCTCCTCTCCTCCAAATAATGCTAAGACATTTCTCCTAAGCTCGCAAAGGGCCATAGGTTGCAAATCCCAATCAAGTTCCGTCACATTCCACCTCAAAGACCAAGTCACCAAATTTGCAAACCATCCTTTGGAACATGTGGCACGCAAAGTTTCAAGAGTAAGTCGATAAGCATCAACAGATGTCACTCTTCTAACGGAAGTGATAGTCAAGAAGAGAGCTTCAGCCTCAAGAGGTAGACAACTTGTTTCCGCAAAAAGAATAGCATATGGAATTTGAAGTTTCACATCACCATTCACACCTAATTCTTCTTGTAAGAAGATCTTTTGCACCCTTTCCAAACGCTCTCAACCTGTCTTCTTACAACTACGACCCCACACCCGTGTTCATTAAAGATAATTGGAAACACTAAGCTAATGAATAAAAAATTTCTAAGACTCCAAGACACTAGAAGAGTTACTCTACATCTATTTAGCAATGAATCTAGAGCTTTAAAACCAAAATCTACTTTCTTTTGCACACAAAGTGTCCAACTATAGTCGAGGAAGAAATCAATGCCTAAATATTTGAAACTCCTCACTTGTTCCAACTCTAACACTTTGTAATAGAAAGAAAGTTTGGATCTAATGCCCACAAGAATGACTTTTGACTTCTTCAAATTGACATCCATCTGATTTTGAGTACAAAAGCTAGCCAAAGTGTCCATTGTCCTTGAACTTCTCCTATGGTAAAATGGTAAATGGTAATAAAACAACAAATAAAACATGCAAAATCAAGATATGGTCTATAGTGTTGAATGTAGGACAAAAACCAGCTTGGAAGATTAAGCACTCTCTTCTAACAAGATTCAACCCATGTGCTCAACTTTGACTAAATCAATTTGCCAAATAACTTGGCAAAAATACTATTCACCATGATAGTCTAATACTTTGTCATCAAGTTCTTGTTGTCAAATTTGTGAATAGGAACAATCTTCTGTAGAGACCAAGTTGATCTAAAAGCATAGATAGAAGGATTCTCTTACACATTACTCAGGATAGGCCCAATAACATCTCCTTTTCATTTGAGAAGTTCAATAAAAAGACCATTCAAATTCTCACATTTACCATTTGTCAATTTTCTGAGTTGAGTTATCTCTTTAGCTTCAGAAAAGAACTTAGAAGTAGAGTTTTTGACCAACTCGGTAAGTTGCAAACTAGATGTATGTGGATCAACGCTCCAAGTAGTAAGAGTCAATAGGTATTGTAAATGTTCACTATAAAGTTGCTTCTTAGATTCTTAACAAATTTGAGAGGAAGTATAAACATACTGATATGGTACATGATAAAGATAATGATAAATGATAAATATGTCAAGCCCGTGTGATCCAAAGAGTCAAAATGCTTAAAAACACAAGAGAGGAATTGACTTTGACAACAAAAGAGTAATTAAAAGAGGTGTGGGATTTGATTTTGGTTGAGACTCTAGAATATCAAATGTTGAGATAAATGAACTATTAGTGAAGGAGTACAAAAGACATGTAGAGAGAGAAAAAAATTTTGACCAAAAAAGTGTAAATAAAAGAGGTGTGTGACTTGATCCTAATTGAGGCTCTAGAATTTGAAATGTTGAAAGAAATGAACTATTAGTGGCGGAGCACAAAAGATAATCAATAGTGCTAATGCCGGTAGAGGAAAAACATGTGTTGGAGTCAGAGTTGGGAAAAAAGGAAACAACGTTGAGAACTTTCAGATTACATGTGGCTTTAAAAGTCAAGAAATGCTCAGTCAAATCATCTGTAGAAGCATCACAAATGACTCTAAATCACAAATTATCCTTACTTTCATCAAAAGAGTGAGAAGACAAAGAATCATCAAACTATGTAAATTGAGGAGATGGTATACAAGCATTAAAGTCTCATACAAGAAAAACTTCACCTTTGTCTTGATATTTGAGAACATTTCCTATAAGGTGATGGTATGGTTGACTTTGATTACAAGTGCTGATGAAGTACATCTGCATGGATAATGGTGCAAAGTAACAAAAAGCCAAATAACTGTAAGATCCTTAAATCAATCCAAGCAAAGTCAATAATTTTTTTCAATATCTTGGTTTTCGAAATGTATTATAAGAACAAATTTAGATCTAATAAAAGTAGCAATGACTCCAAAGTATGTTCCTGCTTGTCAATTATTATGGTTCCAAGTAGTTTCCATCAAAGTAAATCATTGTATCTCCCCAATAGCATTGCTCTCATGCTTCCAAGTGTCCACAATGTTAATGATGTTTGCCATCTTCCAAATTGGAATTGCATTCACATACTTTGTTGTAGATAGTCTTTTTATGTTCCACATCAATATTCTCAACCTCTTGAATTGCTAGGTTGAAGATTGTCTTTTCCTCCGAGTAATAATAGCTTGATTATCACGTAAATAAGCAACAAAACCTATTGCTTTAGCTTTTATTATTTTTGTAAGCTCTTTACTCCTTGCTTCAACTTGTAAAGGTGTAAGATCAAGATCTAACCCAATTCTCTGTCCATTGAAAATGTCTTTGTTAGCTATAGTAGTATCACGTTGAGCTTGATTCACAAACTTCAAAATAATGGCATGAGATTATGCTCCTATGTTTCCAATATGTAGACAAAAAAAACCTCACATTTTTTCTACAAGCAAATAGATTTGCATTTCAATCTCTTGCTCTTGACAGAAAGAGATATAAAATTGCATAAAACTTTCAATCATTCTCTAGACTTTTAATCATTTCATGCAATCCAAGAGTAACAAAAGTAAAAGCTTGAGAACCAACATTCTCTTGAATGTCCTCAACAGATCCAAAAATTTCAAGCATTATCTTTTCAAAACTTTTGTGAGATATCTTCAACTCTTGGATTTCATTTTTTAAACAGTCAAGGTAGCACTTTGTACCTTGAATTCTTGACGGAGCACTTTCAATTCTTTCAAAACCGTTTGCACAAGATTTAGTAGTTTGTCTTTACAAGTCATCACATATCCAATTTTGCAAAATTGTACACAAATTCAAAGCTTGAATTTGACAA